TGAAGTAACATTAGCTTTGGGATATGATACTTCTGCCATTTTTGCTAAATCCATATTATTGCAGAAAATTGATAAGAAAGCTCATTTTACAAATCAGTTTTATCAGGAAAGCTTTAGAGATGTTCTTACCATGCTTCAGATGTAGGCAGCTGTCATTCTGGGGCCTGTACCTGTAGAAGATTGTTTTCCTTTAACAAATTTCTGTTACAGAGTTTTTGCACATTCCAAATAAGTTTGTTTGCTACAGCATAACATTTTTTTTTTTTTGGTGTGTGTTTTTATTTTTTCGTTTTTCTTTTCATGGTTCTTATACCAGCCATTTTTGTTGGGGGAAACAGTTTCTCTTGCTGTATTTTAAAGGCAAAGAGGAGACCTCACTGATGCTTTTAGCCAGCCTACCAGGCAGCTGTTAGTGTACGCAGAAACGTAAAATATGGTTGATAAAAACTAAAGTAGCTACAAAAAGGTCAGTGTGAACTTTTCAGCGTCCAGTAATCCCACGCGACATTTGAGAGGTTGAGTCTAAGGATGATGCAACACTGACTGGGGAGAAAAGCAAAGGTAAAGTAAAGCACGACAGCAATTGCAGCAACGAGTAACTTCAGACACAGATGTTGTGTAGTCAGGAAAGGCGTAAAGGAAAGGAAACACGTTCTGTGTGCATTTTTACAAGCTCACATTCAAAGTGAAGTAACTTTTAAAGAAGATCAGAAGCAAGCGTTAGAGAGCAGCGTGTAAAAATTAAATAGTGTGAGCCTTGGTTTCTGAAATACAGGTGATGTAAGTACTACGTAAGAGCTGGACACGGCCTACCTGATGCTGATTCCTGCAACTTTTCTCTCTTCCTCTTCTTTTTCTTCCCCTGCAAAACAGGTGATGTTACCACACCGTCACATACAAACATTGTATTTTTGCCCTCCTTGCCTCACACCATAGAAAGAAAAGCTATCTGGACACTGAGAAAGCAGTTAGGAAAAAAACACAATTGTTTTGGGGGTAGCTAAACCTTTCACTGTTTCAGTGGTAATGAGGGCGTTGCTCCCAGTATCTAAGGAGAAATATGCACACGAGCAATACACATTTTTGTATCTAAACGGAGTTACAATTTCTGGCACCTCTTCAACTAACACTGGCAGCCGCAAGCATCTAAAAGACTTCTCATGCTTAATAAACTGATGACACATATGCTGATATCCTAATTTATGAGTCTTACAAGATTTCTTCACACATACAGATACTCACACTGTAATACATGGCAACAGCAGACAGGGTGCTGAAAATACCTAGGACAACCACAACTTGCCCCCAGGGTGCAAACCAGCCAACTACAACCGTTCTGATAATGCCTGTATCTTAACAAAAGCCAAGTCTTGTATGGCCATGCCTGCAGTGAGGAGTGTCCCACACAAATAACAGGCTGGTGTGCAGTGAGAGGCCTCAGCGTGAGTGAGGGCAGGACAGGAATGGCCGCCAGGCAGCTGTCTGTCTTGGCCACCACGCTGGCACCAGTGTGTCAGCACAGCCATCGTGCCAACCCACACACAGAATCAGCCTTCCCTCACGCCCCCGGCTATCAAAAAGGCCAGAGTGCCTGGGTCGCATGGGCTGTCAGAGAACAAAGGATCAGCTCAGACCCACAATTTTAAACCTCAGTCATCCTGTATCGCCCTAATTGCCACCCTGACATTCTTCCACATGACTTCTCCTTATTGCTCTGTATTTGCAGTCTTCTCAGTCACAGCTTTTTACTGAGGGAAAAGAGAAGGAAAGGGAAGAGAAAAGGGAGAAGGGAAAAGGGGGGGAAAAAAAAGGCAGGAAAAAGGGCAGGCGAAGAGGAAAGGAAAGGGGAAAAGGAAGGGGAGAAAGGGTTAGGGTAGGGAAAGGGAAATGGAAAGAAGGAGAAGGAGATGGAGAAGGAGAGAAAAGAGAAAAAGAGAAAAGAAAAGAGAACTAAGAGAAGAGAAGGGAATGGAAGGGAAGGGAAGGGAAGGCAAAAGGAGAAAAGGAAAAGGAAAAGGAAAAGGAAAAGGAAAAGGAAAAGGAAAAGGAAAAGGAAAAGGAAAAGGAAAAGGAAAAGGAAAAGGAAAAGGAAGAGAAGAAAAGAAAAGAAAGAAAAAAGGAGAAGAAATGAAAAGTAAAAAAGAAGAGAGAGAAACAAAGAATGGAAAAGAAAAGAAAGAAAAAATGAAAAGTCATATCCACATATATTTTAAGAAAGCATTCAGGCTGCAGGAGAGGCTCTAGCAGATGAGCTCTGGCAAACCTTGCTGCAGAGGCAGTGTGTGGGAGTGTAACTTGCTATCCCCCCATGTCCTCCACACCAGAGGAGCTCCTGAGGCTGGCAGCTGGACTGGGCAACACCTTGTGAATGAGCTCCCAAAGACAGAACCACAGCAAGGAATCACAAAGCAGATTTGTGGAGCTCAGGGAAATTTAAAGCAACGTGCTTTATCATGTAAGCACCCGGACAATGCTTTTTCACTGTACTGCATACTGAAATGTCCTGAGAGCTGATTTGAGATCCATCTACGATATCAGAATTTAAAGGATAAAAGGAAAAGGCTGAGCTGAAAGCTAATTGTCAGCATTCCCAAAAGAAGTAGCTTGTGACACGTGGAGGGACTGCGTTGGATGTCAGTAATAAAAAACATTAATAAGTACCCAAAAATTGACAACATAAGTCATCTCCAAGTCACTTTTAACTTTGAAAATACTGCAACAATCTCTCTGCTAAATCAATAGTGTCATTTTTGACTGCAAGTTGGCAAAAAAGAAGGAAAATTATGATGACTTAGACCCCAAAAGGATTCAGTGACAAACTGCGATCAACTCTGATCGCCTTCTCACCACTGCTGCAACAAGTGCTGGCATTTCTGGAGAGGCAGAGAGGGCTGCGGGAGGAACGCTAGCTGTAATATATAGGACTGGAGCACGTCAGAGCTGCACTGCTACACAGGATATAAGTAGGAAGCACATCAAAGAGAGAATTCTTGTGTGCCATCTTATACCCTCAAAATGTCTGTCAGTGTGTGTAAGAAACAGCAGGCCCACTGCTCATGCTGTATGTGCATGTGGTGTGTGCTGTGGCAAAATACATTGGGTTCGTGAAGCCAATATGCCTGACCATCACAGGACAGTCACTGTTCCCTAGGTAAATGTAAGCTACCAAAAGGCACCTTTCTGGCGCTTTAAAGGCCAACCACCACAGGGAAAGCTGAGGGCAAGTAAAGCGTGAGCTGGCACCGCTGTGAAGTACTCTGATTTTCCAGCAAGTAATTTCAAGACAACTGAAGTCCTCTTGCTGCAGAGATGTTTCAGCAAGGCTGTGTTTGTTCCCAGGTGCATTTCAAAACAGATCTGTTGACATGGTCTTGGTTACTTGAAATAAACCCCACCTGCATAAGGTCATGACAGCTCATGTGCTAGGAAAAAAGACTATAAAACAGACAGAAACAGGCTGCCAGTGCTTACAGCAACATCTGTGCTTACAGAACTGGGCATGGATGTGAGCAAGACCAAGGCTTTTGCTTCACAGATGATCACACAGTTTCTGTGTCAATACTTTCCATGCCAAAAATCTCCCTTAGAGACTCAGGCTTACAACAAAAAACTTTGTTTAAGCTGAGCAGTCACTGTGCTGCATTGGAAATGTTGGGTACTTCTGCAGTCCCTGTTAATGCTGCATTCAGGTGTCTCAAAATCTTCAACATCCAGAAGACATCACTGAAACAGAAAATGCTATTGTCCACCCAATACAGATGGGAAACTAAGCCAGATACATTGTGTACACTTCCTATCACAGTAAATGTCCATTTGATAGGGGACAGAAAGGAGCCAAGATCTTGGGCTGGGGTCAGTCTCTAAGGACTGTGGCTTTCGAACTATGTAACACCCAACTCCCCTGACTGCTCATAGGGAGAACAATTGTGTAGTTGCGTAGTGTGAGCCAATGCAGTGTGACAGTAGTGCTTGTTTGATATTTAATTATAAAAAATGAGTGTTAAAAAAAAAACTTTGTTAAATTTTTTAGCTTTTCTGAATTGTATAAAAGCAAAATCTATTGTAAGGTTTATTTATACAGGTCTTCCAGGCTTTATTTCAGACATGGACCATCCTGAATTACTTTCAACTAAAGTTCACCGTGCAGCAATTCCCCTGGCTTTTGTTCTCCTGAAAGGGAGGTACCCCTTTTTTTTTAGCTCAGAAGATTTCTGGATATAAAGTAATCACATGACATTATGGAAAGTTCAGCTTTCAGACTGCTTAGAAGAACTTTCTGTGTTAAATTTTCCCCTCAAAAATAGTGACCATCGTAAGATGCATCTCAACAACAACAACATCTCCGAATCTCTAGATGTATGAAGTGCAAACAAATACCAGTCTTATGTTTGCCCACCATCCCTTCTTATCAGAGCTTTCCACGAGCTACATGTCAAAAAAGAAAAAGAAGGAAGTTACTTTGAAAACAACCTTGAAGAAAGCGACTTACGTAGTTGTCTCTTGCAGACCAGCCTGGATAAAGCTGCATGTGTAGCTGCCTTTCTTTACGAGCTAGTTCATAATATTTTGCTTGTTCTTCACGAGAGAGAGCATGCCACTGTAAGCCAAATAAACACAGCATTAGACCAGGAAATAACTCATACTTAAGCAACAGATGACACGAACAAGTATTTTTGTGACTTTGATTTGGTCCTTCTCCATTGCAAAAATGAAATTCATTAGCAGTTACAAGCACCCATGTTTATTAAACAACTTTCAGGCATTTGTCAACTCTGTAACTGCCAACTGCCTTGAGCAAGACAAAAATCACTTATGGAAACAGGGCTAACCGTATAATCCGTTCAAAGAACCATGTTCTCCCAACATGACACAGGCATACACAAAAGCAAAAAATATTCTAGTTCTTGACAAAAACCACAAAAGCAAAAAATATTCTAGTTCTTGACAAAAACCAGCAGGTTCGTGCTGCTTTTAAAGGGCACTGAGCTCCCCAGCACAGAAGGGTTTGCTGTCTTGCTTTGAAGCAGCTGCATGCAGGTCTTCATTGTCACAAAGGGCTCTCAAAGCATCAACAGGCTCCTGTTCTAAGATCAACTTCTCCACATCGTGCTCCAAGGTACCCGCCTTCCACTTTCTTGTGGTTGTAACAGGAGAAAATGGCAACTGCAAAAAGTTTCTAAGAAACAAACTCCACAGAACTGTAGTATTCCAAATGACAAGTTGACCTCTGTGGCCAATAAGGGATAAATTTCCTGCTCTTTTTACCTAATTTAAAAAACAACAAACTAAACTGAAACCCTGCACAGGGGAAAAGGCACCATGGTACCTAATCATTTTGTAGTTGTTGAAACATCTATAATAGACTTGAGCCAAAAAGACAAAGGGAGTTTTAGTTAGAAGCAGGTTCACTGCTGCAGCTTTCAGTGTCTTGTTTGACATCGACGACGTGCACTGGGACAGACAGCGATAGTGATGCAGGATGCATTATAAAAAGAAAGGTACTAAAAACACAGACATGAAATCAGTGAGGCACTCATGCAAGAATAATTTACAGAATCACGATTTCAGGTCCAATCACATCTGATTTTCAATACCGTTTTGTTATATGTCAGAAGATGTGAACTACAGGGCTGGTCTGCCTTGACTTGGCAAGTTCGATGTGTTACTGAGAGCAGAGCAGCTCAGCCTATTTGCAGCTCTCATACTCCACACATGCATTCCAAAACTGGAAGGTTCTGAGCATTTTTAACTTGTGTCTAAGCAGTCAACATCAGGTAATGCAACAAAAGCCCAGTTACAACTGTGAAACAAATTCCACACAAGCAACTGAGGCAGCCAAATTTCAGTATGAGACAAGAAGGGTCAGTCTGCCTCTGTGACAGGTGGAACATTTCTGGTTCAGTGTGAATGAAGTGAAAAACCTCAAGAAAATAAGATAAGGTGACACCCTCTTTTTCTACAGATATAGTTCGCTGGTACCAAGAGGACAGACAGAGAACAGCTGCCTTACCAGAAATGTAAAGGTAAAATGTCTAAGAATGGAAACTTAATTTTCCACTCAGCATATTGTTGGAAGTTTTTACAGGTTATATGGAGTTTTTCTGTAGCTGCCTGGCCCATTCTTCTCCATTTTCTAGTGTCACTTGTTCTTAGAGTTACAAAACTGCTCCTTGTATGGCAATGCTGATAGTCTTTCATTTCTTTTTGGCTTCAGTGCCTACATTTAAAACCCTCTGAGCTGGTGAAGAGCAAAACTGGGATTCCAAAACATGCAGAGAAAGCTCTGGGTTAGAAGGCTTTTTCTTAGAAGTTGGCATCCTTCCATACTGCAGACCTGGAAGGCGTGTAAGGCCACCATTTCACTGAGAGTGTTTTATGCTTTGACCATTGCTGGGTGTGAAGAAGTGCTGAGCTAAGACCTAGAACCAGAGGCATAGGGGTGGGAGGAGAGAAAGAAGCTCTCCTTGTTTAAAGATGAGGATTTCCTACGTTGGACTTTCTGACTAAATGATGGCATCAGAGGGCTCAGCAGCACGCAAGGTGTCAGCTCCTGAGTACAGAGGCTCCTGTTCCAAAGTGGCACAGAGTACAGAGAACAGGGAAGAGGATGACTGAAAACAAAACGTTTGACAATAATTAATCTCCAAGCAATTATACGGGATAAGAAGTACATTTGTACCACAGAACCTGAAGTACTTTTACGGAAACAAAAGTCAAAGCAATGGAAAAAGCATTGAGCAGAGCAGTGAGGTTTGATTCATTAGCAAAATGGAGACACATAGGCCACTGCCATCATTCAGGCCAAGACATACTCAGCAACTAAGACGAATCACTAAGAGAATGAGAATGAAAATACAATCATAGGAAGCTGCATGCAAGAATGGAAGATATAAGCATTGAGATGTCATTTAAGAAGAAGCAACAAAAACATCAGAGAGAAAGAAGAACCAAAGGAACCAGGATAAGTAACAAGAAATTTTTGCATTGTTTGAGAGGGAGAAAAAAATCTTCAGAGGGCTAAAATTGTGTTCTGACTTCCCACTTGGAAGCACAGGGCTTCCAGGGAGTTTTAGAGCCTCTTGATACTGACCTAACAAGTGGTCAAAAAAAAGCGTTCACTGAGCAAGGCAATTTGAAGAATCCATACTTGCTATTACAAATGTTGTCTCTTTTTAAATTTTTGGTTTTTAAAATTTTGGTGCTAAAATGGGTGATTATCTATGCTGCATTCCCTTTGGAAGAACAATACTCAACACTATGTAATACTTAACAATACTTACACTGAGCATCAAGTTTGTAATTGTGGGTTGGCCTTCATTTTTCAGCGCATGGATAGGAGAAAACAAGCCTACAGTGCCACAAAAGCAAATGGCTCTCAGCAAGGCTACTGAGAGACTCTGGGACATGTGCTGTGACCATCAGTATTCGGCTGGTGACTTCAGTCAACATCTGAGTCCCTGAGACTCTGAGAAGTCCCTGAGAAAGCTGAGGAAACCAGTGCTTGTAGAGCACGTGTGGGACTGAATGACTTCCTCAGGTCCCTCCCAGTCTCCATGCTTTTACAGCCAGACCTGCACCGCATTCATTTTTCACTTCTATCTCTGTTGGCATTCAGCACTTATCTTTGAATGAGCCCCTCCTGATGGATGCCAGCCTAAAGGAGGACCTAGAAGGTGATCTGAATGTTCCTTCCACGTGTGGATGAGAGTATTTCTCGCCTGAGGTGCTGACATGTGACACGAATGGAACAGACATCAATTGGATGATGAGACTAACTCCAAAGAAAAGAAAAAAAATCAAGTCACTGCTTTTATTTTTAGTCACCTGTTTTATCTTCTACAGCTAATTTGATAGTTGCACATTAGTTAGCACCTCAAGCAGAAAGCGAGCCATCACACTCACTAAAGGGAAACACACAAATTAGCAGCACCCGTGAGCGCACACACACCCTTCTGTACATACCCTTCTGCCAAGAATCTGGTTGATAGCTGCGCTTTCTTTCAGAGTACACTCTGCTACAACGTTCGCTCTCATTTCTTTCATGTACAACATGAAAGCATTCAGAGGTTTCTTAATATGAGGTCTTTTTGGCTCTTGTTCTTTTCTCTGTTCGTGCTGAGGCTTCCTAAAACGTGGTGGGGGAAGGGGGAAAGAGGGAAAAAAAGCATCTATTTACCTTCAGCCTAAAAAAAGCCCAAACCCAATGGAAATTTCCAATCAGTGGTTACAGTAGCAAATAACTGGTAAGAATCTGGATTTCAGTGGTCATGTCTCGCCCCCTTTCATGTCTTTTTAGAGAACTGACTGAACGTAAAACTCAGGTAGATGTCAAGTTGACATTCTCTAGCAAATAATATTTGATCTGTGAATCTGCTCCAAATTTATCACCTATCTCAATTCTCTTTTTGACGGTTATATCTGCTATCCTGGCAGGACACTGTTTTACACAGGAGGATAACTCCTCACCCACTTCTTTCTGAGACCTTGAAGAAGAAAGCAAAAATGCTGCTTTCTACTAGTAAATTTCACAGTTAAAACTGTTCCCAGAAAAAGCTTGGGAATTCATACTCAGGCACCAACCTCATGTAGACAGATCCACAATTATAATACAATCAAAATGATTGCTACTGATAGCTTAGGAGCGCTGGATTGGAATGACAAATGGCATCATTACTTTTCTAAAACAGTAACCCTCATCTCTTTTCGATGTTAGAATCACAGAATTGTTTGAGTTGGAAGGGACCTTTAAAGGTCATCTAGGCTAACTCTCCTAGTTATAGGAGAAAAGTTAATATTCAGAGAGGCCATGTAAGTTGCTTGCTGCTTTTTTTTGTTGCTGTTTTGTTTTAACCTTGACTCTTCTTCAGATAGGGTTAGTTTTCTGGCATTTATAGATAAAGGGCTAGCACAGAAAGGCAGACTCACACATGCATTAGCTCACTGTCGTTGTGCGGATGTTCTTGTTTCACTTGAGGTGTTACAATAGCTGGGTGAGGGATTCCAGTTGTGTGAGGGCCTGGAGGACCAGGAATCATGTGATGTGAAAACCTAGAAGAGAAAACAAAGGAAGGTCTGTAACCCTACTGAAGATAGGCATCAAACAAATATGACAGCAGTGGGATGCCCAAGAATGCGAACACTACAGAACTTGCAATGGAAAGACAATTCCTTAAGACTGCGTGAAAAATATTTGGCTGAGATCTGTGCATTGTAGCCAGTTTATTCAAGGGAAAAAAAAAAAAAAAAAGTCACCATTTTGGTTTTAAAGAAGTTATTTTATTACCTTTCAGGCAAGTAGTTTTATCAATGCACACCAGAAACATTTAATGGCTGTACTGTTGCACTGATTAGCAACAAAAATACACTTTTTTAAACCAAAAACTGTATTTTCACACCAAGATATAAACACTTGTAGAATATCCACCACCAGACAATGCAAAAGAGGGTACTGCCATGCAGAAACAAATAAAATAAAAGAATAAGTCTTTTCAAGAAGTCCCTGATAGGTCTGTAAAGAATCTCTTGCTTTGCAAAGTACTTAAACTAAAAGATTTTAGCATCACTTCACCTAAGCTCATTGTCTTCTTCACAAACTAATATTGATGAAAAATTCCTACATTCTGGAAGAAAGAATTAAAAAAAAAAAAAAAAAAAAGAAAGAGAGAGAAAGAAAGATTTGTGTCCTAAATTAACCTTCCTTCTACCTGTACAAGGAAAACAGAAAACAAAACTGCATCACTAACTCCACCATCCCACCCTGCTATCCCAGTTCCTCCTCAAGGATGGCTGAGACAGACCTCCAGGGTGCTAAGCTCTGCAAGCCCAAGGTCACACAAAAATCTACATGCTAGCCTTTGGATTGGTGGAATGCCCCAGTAACATCACAAGCAAGCTCATGCGCTAAAGCTTTGCTGAATGAGTGCTGATTAAGGAATGGCATTCAGCCTCTCTTTTCTCTAGTCCCTTTGGTCTCTTCCTCCACTTCATCAAAATAAAGCAAATATAAAGCCCTGTAACCAAATCAGGCAATTTTATTACAGAGAAAGAGTGGCTTTTCCTCCCAATCACCTGGCGGGCGCATGCTTGTCATTCCACTGCAAAGAAATGAAGGGACAGCCACATAGACAGAGGCAAGAGGACCTACCACGTATCAAGTGGCCTGTCTTACTTCCCCGTGCAAGAGGATGTGTCTTCTACAGGTCACACAAAAGAAACAAGAATGGTATATTGCAACCTTGTGTACACCAAGCACAGGATGCAGAAGCTGTCTTCAGAGTGCAAAAGCAGAGAAGAGGAGGACTGGAGTGTGTCATGGCCAAGTCTCAGTTAGCATTGCTTGCTTGCGCTTAACATAAAGACACAGTGCCTGAGTCACACACCAGCACAAACACACTGTGTTGGCATCCCCTGCCATTAATGGCATTGGGCTATGAAATATCTATTTCTGAGCAAGTTTCTTTGTGGAGTGATACCTAAATGATTCAAGACTAATAACCAACAACCTTGAAAATAAAACTACAGAATGAGAGTAACAATCCACCTGGCTTCGTACTTGTATGAGTAAAACCAAAGTATGCACTTTATATATTACATCTAGAAAGGAACCAATGACTCATTTCAGATGAAACAGATCAATTAATTGCTGACAATTTACTGGTGCTCCTAATTGTGATACTTCAGAAACTGCCAAGAAAATGCTGAATAAAACCAGTGTGGGATCCAGGCAAACTGTTATATACACAAATATGTTAAATAAAAATGTATGCATAAAGTTTTAGCTGACTGAAAAGCAAGCAAAGGCAGACCAAGATGCAAGCAGAAGAGCAACTTGCCCTCTAATGCCAGCAGTTACTCCCCAGTCAGTCATTCACCTCCTACACCTACCTGGACATGGAAGGGTCGACTGAGAGTGAGGATGGGTAGGGCTGCCTGAATCCACTCGAGATGGGATATACAGGCTGACCTTGCCTGATGTCACAGAAGAAAGGAACCCATCAATCATATGATACGGTACTCAGTAGTAACTCTAGAGTTGTAAGCACTTGATGGGAACTCAGGGTGAAACAAAAACAGGCAAAATTTTCCTGAGTTCTGCTGTGTTCAGGTGTTTATTAGCTTTGAATACTTAGGACCTTCTCCTTAGCTAATGAAAGATTCCCAGTCCAGGTTTCTACTGGAGAGGAAAGCAAAACAACCAACCTTCCTCCTCCATAACACACGTGCATACCCCCTTGCACCTAGTTTTAGAAACATTGCAATCAGACTTGGTTAACTAGCTCTTACAAAAGAGGTATTTTGTTCCAAATATTCCCAATGTAGTTCAGTGCAAGAACACTAAAGTATGAATTACCAACCTAGAAAACCTTTTGAATAGTTTCGTAAGTCTGTGATATCTTAAGACTTTCTTCATTTGTGTATTCTGTAGTGAGGAACAAGTGACCAGTTCTTCTAAGAAACTATACTTGCTATGTCAAAAAGCCCAATAGCAACACAAGTACACCCTGACTACTTAAAGTTCAGCCTTACCAAGTTCAGCCCCAGTACCTGAACCAGCCCAACAAGATCACCACACATGCCAATCCTGTTCCAAGAGCTACTCACTGGTAGATCAGCTTTCCAGAAGTGGAGAGAAAAGAAATGGATAGCAGCCTTTGTAGGGTTCAGGATATCGGTTTCATACTTGGACTAAATTACTGGAAATCAGGAATGCTTAAGGAGTGGAGGAAGTCTCAGCTGCACTTCCACACATGAGGTAGCTGGAAGCCATGGTGCATAAGGGATGGCCAGATACATCCAGTTGTCAATGAGCACTGCTGTACACACTCCCAAACCTTGTAAAATCACAGCTTGTCTCTCCTCTTCTTTCTCATTCCAGTTAAGCCACTCCCCTCCCTGCCAGCCTCTGCATCATGAAACCATTCAAAAGAAATGATGGACCACATCTGGAAAATGAATGCCAGGAACTGCCTGCTGGTGGTGGAGGTGGTGAGTCAGCCTAGCAGCAATGAATGGGGAGTCAGATGCTTCCATATTTTAGTTTTGTATCTGATAACAATTTGCTCCAAAAAGGCATGTGGCACTTCCTGCAAGATTTGCCAGCAACACAGCGCTTAACCATCTTATAGTCTCTACTTTCCCTGCCTGCTGTCATCTGGATTATGTTTTCCTCTCATACACAGACACATGAAGAACATCTACGTCTCTCGTTGTGTGGGCACAGATTAGTCAAGATAAGGAGTCTAAAGCACTGAAACTGTTGCTCTGTTTACTTATTCCCTGCTCTGAGAGAACTGAGGAGTGAGTATGTATCTACTCCAAGCAGACATGAAGCATCTTGCCAAATAGATTACATTCTGAAAGTACCATGTGTTTCCTCCAAAAGGAAGATGACACTCTGAATGGCACAGAAAGATCTTACAAGTGCTAATATTAGCAAGAAGAGCAAAGTCTCCTAATAACTGAGGCTTCTCTCCATACAGAAACTGTAAGAAGCAGCAGATTACAAAAGTTTGTTCTCCATTTTGGCGCAGTTTCAAGATTCCCCCCACCACACACACTTCAAAGTTCTCTCTTACCTCCCCTCCCTCCTGTAATTGCAATTTTGTTTATTAAAAATTTACATTTAATTCCTTGAGAACTGTTTTCTGCTATCTTTCCAAATGCCAAGAGCCACAAATCCGAGCCATAAGACTTCAAAGTGAAATCTACACACTTCAATTTCTGTACGTGTTCAAAAACCAGATTCAATTCATTTCAAAGATCAACATTTTTTGATCTTTTAAACTCAAATAACATAGTTATTTCTTACTGCAATGACATTCTTATTTTTTAATGCTGCAATTGACTCAACACCAGCGGATGGTACAAACATGCACCTTGTCTGAAAAGAAGCTAAAAGATCTTACCAGCCAAGAGGTGGTGTTATCTGTCCAACCCCCCCTGGAGACAAGGGATAGAAGGTGGGGATATCAGGAGCTGGAGGATGCCTGGACATGCCTGTTAAAGAGTACAGAAGAATGAATGACTTTCACCTCAAAATACTTGAAGTGCAAGTTATCGTTCACAACTAACAGCCAACGCTATGACGGAATTAGTGCTCTGGGTGAGAAGTAACCACTTGTTTGGTCAGTGTTAAAGGCCACTCATACCACCTTTTAAAAAATAAATAAGTATTGCAATTCAGATAGAAACAATGGGGGGAAAAATAAGTGGAACGGCACAATAAATGTCTGGGCTAAGGACCTGCACAAGTTTAGATTTCCTGCCAAGTGAGTTAGGCAAAACTGTCCTCTAAATGGTTCTACCAAACCCAGTAGAATCCTGAGGAACTCCTCCAACAAGCAGCATGAAGCAAGACAAACTAAAATAAAAATAAAGCATTGTCAGAGGCAGCACAGCAGAGCTATTAGATTAGGTAAATTGCTACTTGCACGTTTTCGCTGGTTCCCTTATGGATTCACTGATTTTGGAAACTTGTTACCACAGAGGATCAGTGGTTAATTAAGAATCATTTTCAGGCCTGTAATGGTCACACTTGATATGATTCATTTGGCTTCCAATTGTCACTCCAGCTCCAACTAAGCTCTTCATCAAGTTGACTCCTGTGGGCTCCAAGGTCAATCTGTTTTGCATTGGTAGTATTTCATGGAAAAATAAAGGGTCCCATCAGAAACGTTCCATTAGCTCACATTCCCCAGAACACAGAGTCCTACAATTGTAAGAATCACCTCAAGATTAAAGCTAATCCTGGTCCCAAGGGCCTCTGGTCTCCATTCTTCACCTCAAACTCACGCCCCCAGGAGACATGGAATTACAGTTGCAGAGGCCGCAAAGAACATCGTTTTATTTAAATATGTTTGGGGAAGAGGAGACTGAAGCAGAAGGAAGTGTTAAGTCGACTTCACATGTTAAATCAGCTGCTTTAAAAGGGTATTAAATATTTATGTAGTGACACTCCGAATGCCCAAGATTGAGTGTGTGCTACCTTGAGACTTGGTTTTATAGATTGACACAACTGATTCCTTCCCACCCCACCCCATAGCTTGCATTTAAATCTTCTGAATTTAATTAAATGAACTGAGGAATATCTTTCGGGATTGTGTACAGGAAAGTAGAGAAAATAACACTGGCAGTTACTACAAACTCTGTCTTTTTTGGTGCCTCAAAAGCTAAGTTGCCAGGCTTAGGACCACAGCCTGAGGCTCAAATGTCTGGCCAGTTGTCTTTTCAGAGCCGTAAAACAGCTGGTGGCTGACAGGAGAGAACATTTTATGTATTCCAGGATTTGTAACAGCAAACACTCTTTCAGAGCATTTAGAAAAGGGCAAAACACGGGACCAGCTCCCATCCTTGGTGACAGCTGATGCTCCTGAGGAGCAGTGACATGACCTTGCCCCTACTCAACCAAACTGTGTGTGAAGAGAAGGGCTGCTGTTCCTTCCCCAAAATGCACATTTCTGACCCATGGTGAGGACTCTGTGCTCTCTGGCTTAGTGCACAAAACTTCAGGCCTTTTATGGAGAAACACCAGCTACCTGATGTCCAGGAGGAAAATGTGAAGCAGCCCCACAGCCAGCACTGTCCGAAACCAGATTTGCTCTCAGGAGGGTTAAAAGCAATAAAGACGAAAGGGAAGAATGAACTGACTGCCTATGGAAAGGTGGGAGCCACGTGTCCATCCCGAAGTACCCATGGTAAGAGAGGCAATGCTGGGGGCGAGCCGCTGTGGGACCCCCAGCATTGGGGCTGGGGTAGCGAGGCAGTGTCTTGCTCCAGCCCCACACTGGGAGGCGAGGACAGAAACAATGGTTGGAGGCATCTGGCAGAGGACCTGAGGGAAAATATTCCCTCAGCAGCAATGGCGTGGACCACTTCACTGCAGCTGCTGAGACACGCTTGTGGTGCTGGGATGGGAGCATGGGAAGACCACACACATCAAGAAGACCATGGCAGCAAAAAAAAAAAGCAAAAGCCTCCGGCCCACATTGTCCATTGGCATCTTTGCCAGACGCTAAGAGGAGGACTCAAGAGCCTGTTTGGAAATACCAGAGCTCCGCATGAGAGATGGGCTGGGCAGGGAGAGAGTGAAACAAAGCAGAAAAGGAAGACAGGCAGTAAGCACAAATGAGGCCTCCTGGTTGGGTCTGCAGGAGATGAGGAGGAAAATGATGCCCCGTTGTTCAATAAGCCAAAACTTCCTGTGCTCACAAGCTGCAGCTGTGGGGTACAAATCCCACAGTCTAACTCACACAGCACCCATGAGGCCTCAAGGAATGACCACCAGTGTCCTCCTCCTGGGCACTCACATGAAGAAGGAAGACAAATGAGGACATGAGGTCTCCATTTGCTTCGTCTTCTCTCAAAAAAGAATTATACGTGCATCTGCAGGCTGGAGTGAAGGAAAATAACCAGACAGCCACATGTCTATGGTATTTTCTGGAGGTAGCCCAAATTATTACCAGCATAGCAAGTCCAACACAAAAACAAGGCATCCAGGGAAAGTCGGAACTAAAAAAGCCTCTCGTTGGGTGACGGTGGTTAGACTACCGTTATGTCAATTATTATATAGAAGAATTCAGAAAGCAAGAATATGAGAACATAAAAAGCAATTTTGATTTAAAAAAAGAAAAGGTTTTGATAACAGCAGAACTGAGGTGCTTTTCCCCAGTTTTCGGGACAGCGAGGGATGATTGCTGTTTCTGTGTCTGCATGCTGCAAGCCTCAGGCACAACAGGGGGTGGTGAGGACTGGCCGCTGCTTATTGAGATTTTAAAAGGCTCTGACGAGTAAAACAAGCCAGAATTATCACATTAGGAAGAGCATGAAGATTTAAACAGCCAAGCTAAATACCAGCATCACAGCAGAACAGAAAGTGGGCACACATGGTGGGAGCCCTCGCTCTGAAACATGAAAAGCAAAGCCCCCCAGCAGTACAGGCTCACCTTGCTTGGAGCTGACGTCGGAGGGGATGTGAGATGGGTGGGAGCCCGGGGAAAAGTGCTCATCGCTGTAGGTGATAAGGGGTGTGAGAGGGTGAACTGCATGAGAGGGCTGTACCACTGGCACCTTGTTGGACTGCAAGAGAAGGGAAAACAGCATTAGCGAGGTGTGGCTTCCAAAATACAGTTTTTACATAATGGTATGACTGAAGCTAGAAGGGGCTGGCAGTGGCATTTCTGGAGGGGCTGTTTGGGAAGGAGACCGCTGACTACCCCAGGGAGAGCCACAAAGATTTACCACCTCACCCAGGGAGGGACCAAAGCACTAAAAACACCCAGTGGGGCCCCAAAGCGGGTACTGCCAGCCTATATTCCCACAAACCGCACTCGTGAATCAAGCCTGCAAGGCAGCAGGGCTCCTCTGTGCCAACATGGTGCTTCTGCAGTAGTGCTGCATGAGACAAAAGTCGCTGTTCCCACAGCAGGATGAACCGCAGCGACGATCCCAGCACTAAGAGGCACTCCTTGTTTCCATCCCGCCACCCTTCCCCTTGGCTAAAACAATTATGCCACAAACAGATCTTTAATAAAATAAAAAAGGAGAAAAAAAATAATAATAAAAAAAAAAGAAATAGGCCTTCAGAGAAAACCGCTGATAAATCTCAGCGAGGACAGCCTGTCAGGAACTGTGAATTAACAGAAGAAAAAAGAAATCATTTAGGAACCGAATGAAATTAAATTTGAGTCTCACTATTCAAATCCTGGCACGAATAGACATAGTGACAATGCTCCAACGCCACACCAAGGATTTCTCTGGACTTCTAAAACCAGGAGGGCCATTCCATGGACAGCTCAATTTATTGTTAAGGCTGGTAGGAGCAGACGAAGAAGGAGCAAATGGGAAGCAGTGCTGCATTTTCTGCTTTCCTTGTTTCCAGAGCACCACCTTAAGGAACTTGCATTAGCAGGCAGTATCTTCTTAATGTCTGACCTATCCCTCCAGTCATATAGCTCAGAATCTGGTGCCATGAATTTTTGCTAAATTATGCTATCCTTGCTCTCCTCTTAATTTTACGGTTTTCAACACAGATTTGCTTTCCTGTAGGAAAGAGATAAGAACCTGAGGATTTTAATTTAAGCTTTGGCCTTGTCTTATATTTTGCAAGACGGAGAGAGAAAGCAGCACTGGTAGGTGTTTTAAAGCCAACAAGCATTAGGTCTGTTTTTGCGACCAAATAATAAAAGCAATATGAATTCTCAATAATATGTATGAGTTGAGTTGTAAAGGCGATAGTGCAGGCTGCTGTTCATCTTCCCAATCTGTATACATGCAACCAAAACAGACGCCAACAAATTTCAGCTGATTTACACATCAGGCCTCGGTCTTTAGCTGCGAGACTCAAGGGCCAGCCCACCATTCAGCAATTACTTTATCAACAATAAACTGTACATTATGAATAAAGATCAAGGAACAGATGTATTTAGGTCACACACACAGCTGCTAATCAGCATTAATTTCTCAAATTTTAGTAATTAACATTTTGCATTATATTGGCTGTAACTGTCATGCATGCCTGTGGTATCAGGGTAGCTTGCTTTCAGCAGTTGCCTGTTGTCCTCGCAGTAAACCAATTTGGGCACCCCTCACTCCTCAGCATCCAGCAGATTCGGTTTTATTTTCTACTTCTTGGCACCTTATCCCCTAAGCCCATGGCTGTGGTTTTCAACGTGAGAGAACCGTGAGAAGTGAGGAGAAAAGCAATCCGCTTGTTAGCAGGCTTAAAATTAACACAGAAAGGGGCTGTGTTTCCATCAGCAGCATTTGGGGTCTGCAGAGCCAGAGCCTGCAAAATAAAATAGAACAATGATAACAATGGAAGCTCTGGCCTGGGCCAGAAACTGATTTATTTTTAAAAGCCCCGTGGACTCCATCAGTGCTGATCTCACACCTGCCCTGCAAGTCAGCCAAAGCAGGCGATCTGCTTGTTGATGTCCATTCTTCCCTTGTTTTTTTCTCCAGGTTTTACCACCCCAGAAGCTTTTCATGGCTGATTGTTATGGCCAAAGTCCTACGTTGGGCTCACATATGAGAAGGTTATGTGATGAGGTTTCCACCAAGCTCTGTTTTCTTTGTCAGTGGGCTTCCTCCTGCTCCCGCAAGCAACCATACATCAAAACGTAATAATTTGGTGCACTCTGGTACCTAAAGCAGCCTACAGAAACACTGCAGAGCAGCAGAGGATGCAATCCGATGTCCAGAGCAGTCTGAAGAAGTCACACGTCTCTCCAAAAGCGGCCTAACACCAAAGGCTTCATTTAGCTCCGGGTGCAACCCTCCGCACATGCCCCAGAAAGGAAAGTGAGAATGTGCAGCCACGCTCAAGATCTGCAATTCTGGGAAATGAAACGAAACAAAACAAAACAGGGTGTTCTCATCTTGGAGGCTGAGAACCCGTTGGTGTATGAACCCAAAGACCTTCTGTTACATATTGAGGCACCTCGCCATGGTTTTTTCTCATTTTTTAAATGCTTCTGAAGAAACGTGAGACTACCAAAAAAAAAAAAAAAAGAAAGAAATAATTAAAAAAACCCACCCACCTCCCCAAACATCTAGCTAAAAGCTGTAAGGTATCCTATATGCAACAAGTGTGCAAAAACTATAAAAAGCCTGAGCAAGCCATGGCAAAAATGCCTGTGGGTCAGCACTGGGCAGGCAGGCTGCAGCAGGGACCATTTGTTCCAGCTGGTGTGCAGAGGGAGATGGAGCGCGCAGCCCTGCCAGCTCTGCAGAGCCACGCAGGCAGCCGTGCTGCTGGTGGTGGGGCACGTAGTCCATGTCCCATGTGGTCACCGTCACACCTCACCGCTGCTCCCACCATCAGGTTGTCCCAGCAAGGGAGTGCTCCAGCCCAGCTGGAAGGTAGAACAAAAGGCTGAAAGCAACACTCGAAACAGTTCTTTCTTCTTGTTTTTCTTTTAAATGTTGATCTGCCTCTAAAAAGACCCCAAATGTCCCCAGTTCATTACTTGTCCTCTGCTGTCAACAAGTTGTGGGTCCCGAATGGGAACTGGCAGGTGGTCTCAGTTCAAGCTAAAATAGCCAAATTAAAACAACAGCAACAACAGTAACAACAAGAACACCAGAAACAACACAAAGAAACAACGCAACAAGAATTCTTAAGGCAGAAGACAAGCAGATCCACATAGCCAAATGTACACATTCCCTTTTCTTCCTGAAAAGGAAGGCTTCAGGTTTTTAACAGCAAACATTACGCTGAGAGAAGAAAACACAATAGCAGATAGCTCTATCAAACACCCAACAACAGAAAACACAACCCTTCCCACTCCTGCTACAGCAAGTACCAGAGGACCAATGACTTGCTGGAGGATTTGAGGATACCTTAGCCTGAAAAAACATGAGGAAAATCTGTGCATTTTTTAGCCTATTTAATTTCTTCTTTCTAGAGCCCTGAAATCATTCTTAGACAGAAGGACTTATCAAACACAGAGATGGCAGTTTCAGTTGCTGTCTCAAAATAGCGATAGCATTTTAATGGCTAAACTGACTCTGAGTTTAAGCCTTTGATGACCAGCTGTTGCAGTAGAAATGCAAAAGGAAGAAGAGCATGGTTTGGGAGCAGTGCGAAAACCAGGCCCGTGTGAGAAGATGTGCTGTCATGGACCGGCACTGGATGTGGAAGGTGTTCTGGCCAGAACTTGTTACTCGTAGATGAAACAGATAATCAATGCCAGCAATAACTGCAATTATAATTTGTCACCTTCCTGGGAACTGGTGTACAATCTCCTTCTGTGAACAACTCTGCAGAGGAGCAGCAAGCTTGATATAAAGAGGTTGGATTGTTCCCCTCATTCCCAAGCCACTTATTTACAGCAAATAGTTCTATGTATAAAGCCAGCCTCCTTCTAATCTCTTGACAGAAGAGACTGCTTTATGTTTAATTTTCAAAACCTTCTCCAACTAGACACTGCAGCAGAACAAATGAGATAGCAGGTATGAAGGTAGACATCTGCAGCCTTGCTTCCAACCTCACCTGAAAGCACCACCTGAATCACCCCCTTGGTAACAGGGGCTCAGCAATATTCTGACCTACAGAAGACAAATAAAAGAGTCAGTCTTTTGCTCTTCTCCCAGCACGGGGAGTATTTATTTTGCCGATCCCTCCTGTTTTGGTGTCATGACAGTCATGGTACTCAGCCCAGAAAGGTGGCAAAGTGCATCCCAGTGATGTTGGGCTGTTTTCTGGACTGGAGCTCGCACTGCTCGCACTGCTTAGTGTGATGCCTGGTGCATCACACTAAAATGTAGGCAGTGTACAGGGATGCCCACAGACAAAGGGCAAACTGCTCTGCTTAAAGTGCAAAGTGTTGAAACGCAATGAAAGCCCAAATACAGCAGCCAGGGGAGTGCTGCAAAGACAAGAGTGAATGGGATTTGATAAAAACTGGGTTAAACATCTATCTAGATGCATTATAATCAGTGACATGATTCAGGTTAATCGTGACATTGGTGTAAAAACTAATAGCTTCTCTACAGTCTTCTTTTGGCAACTTTATTTTTTCATCCTTTTCCATCTTGGAAATTAATAATAGCACAACTCTGCCTGCTTTTTGCCAAAAAGTTGTAATGAACAGTTGAGTTCCCTCAAGACATCTTTAAAAACATGGCTGTTGAATCTCTGACAGAAATATGCTTTATTTCAAGTGTTCATTAAGCACTGCCATTAAGCGAGTGATTAAAGCACACCCAGCATTAAAATAACTTGATTAGAAATCCCCTGCTATCTCAGTTTTCTTCTCTCTCGCGACTCCTTAATTTGTTGTTCTCACCTGCTCTGGAAGGCTATAGGGAGACCCGAGGTGCTGCAGCACCGCACAGGGAGCCGGGCATTGCTTCCCAGCCTGCTCATGGAGAGGACAAGCCTGCTGCTATTTGCAGGCTGCCAGTGCACATGTGTACAGATTATGCCTAACGTCGCATGGCCCATTAGTTTTAGAAATACTCACTAACAACTGATAGGGCATGAAATCGCCAGCAAAGCCGCAGACTTGCTTGGAAAGCTTTTGCTGTTAAAACGTTTTGTGTTGTTTGATTTCATTCTCCAATGCAGCAATGAGGTCTCTCCGATGTTCACTGGTTCCCAGCAAATGCTGCTCAACTTCACAGGCCACTGCTCATTCTGAGCTCCCGTTCCCACACGATGGTCATTCAACCTTGTCCACCCTGCATGGTTCTTCTTTTTCCCGATGTATATAAGTGCAAAGAGACCCACACCAAACATGCATTAATTTGCAACAGTAAATCACATACTCAGCAGCTGCAAGCATACCTCTTCTGCTAAGTATGCTGTAAATAAATGGGACTGCCAAAAAGGATTTTTTCCCATCACTTTCCACTGTTCATAGCCCTCTCTATTCTCTGTTGGCCAAGGTGAACACGAACACTGTGATGTTTTCACAAAGCTGACACCATGCTCTTGCACAAGCTCTGGTCCAGCATTCAACATGGGCAGTCCTCTGCATCCTCCAGCACCCAAACTGAGCTTGGAAACCTTTTCACCAAATGAGACATCACCAATTGGATAAATATGTGAACTTGGTGTGGGAGTGAGTGGCCAGAGGACAGCCCTGAGGGCTGGTGTTCCTGCTGGGGCCACGATGTGCGTCACAGGATGAGGCGACTCTTCCTCACTGGCCTCTCTGCGTCCCACAGGATGCAGGCCAAGGCTCCTGCTGTCCCACAAAAAGCCCCGTCTCGTGTCCCTGTGACTGACCAGGCAATGCCTTTCATTATGACACACACAGTGGATGAAAACGGTTTGAAATAAGACCACTCCCAAGTACATGTTTACATCAAGTCCGTATCACGGCTTACTCAATGCCACGTGCCATAATGGAGACCAAGAAGCCTGAAAAAGGCCAACTTTTCTTTGAACAGGGACTTTTTTTAAGAAGAGATGCTCTCGTCTCATGAAGGCAAGAATGAGGACTCAAAGAGCTGTGGAAGCACCTGGCACACTAGTATGTGTCCAAGAGCTGCTTCGCTGCACCTGAGTTTGCAGCAGAAAGGCTGACTGGACAGTACCTGCTTACGTCCAGCACAGCAGAGACCAAGTTGACTGCCCACAATACCCAATGTAACTGGCACTTGTGGAAGCAATCCTACTTCCTTTGCCTTCTAAAAATGGGGAATCCAAGAAAACAAGATGAAAATGGATGTAAAAATGGAAGAGTGGAGACTCTGACTACATCAGTGATGTTTCAGCCAGTCCTTGTGCTTGGCAAGCTTCCTCCCCACATGGACAAATTTTTGCTGTGGCCAACCCTGCCTGACACCAGGTCCAGGAAGGGCCATCCATATACTGTCAAGCAGTGAAAAGCCCCTGCAACTGGATTTTAGAGTGTGGTGGCCCTTACACAGTTGAAATAACAAAGGGTCACCCAGCATACAGTGGGGTACAAAGCAAGCACCAGAGGGGTCATTTTCGAAACGTTAAGGCTCCCAGGCACTGCTGACCCTGCATACCCACTGGAAAAAAGTTTTCAAGTAACTTCTCTGAGTCCAGCTAAACCGTATTAACAGATTTATCCAATAACATGCAAATTCAGGTTTTAATGAAAAGTCTTAAGTCACAGCTCTAAGTGATTTGGACTTTTCTGCTAATGGCATCTGCTAATGACCAAAGATTTAATGCATCAAGTCTTAGCATACATCAGCGCAAACAATATAACCATTTAGTGGAGGTAAAAAGTCATCTCATTAGACATCCATCACTGGATGTGGGCAAGATGGTCCAAAGGCTTAAAATAAAATATTCATTTTTAAACTAAGAAAAAAAAAATCCCTAAAAACGTACAAATGATTAGGCCAAAAGTAGCAGTCTGCTAAAGCTTCACTAGGATTGAAAATTCAAACAGCAACATATATCTGGAGGTAAAACGCATTTGCAAGTACTTAATTTCTGCAGTACTGTTCCACAGAAGGCAAAACCAATTTTAATAGGAATTAACGCAATGGGGCCCTCCAGAAACAGGATGTCTCTGAGACAGGTTATTTGAACCATCAGAAGAAGGTCGTAACAGAAATTATTTCTCTGCCATATCATGAAAGATTACCTTAGTACAAACAGAAATGCTCAAAAACTACTAGCTTAATTTTCTGGATCTGTCCCATCCTGTTGAAGGATCTCAACACCAGGGAAACACAAAATTGTGAGTGTAGCTAGAAGTGTAATCACAGTATACAGCTCAGAATGAGCAGAGAACGAGTGGGGTGAAGCACAAGGGTAAAGAAGCAGAGCTTCAAACACTTTGAATGCGCACACACTTTGTACAAACCAGGTATGATGCTCAGCTGTGGGTACCAGACCCACGAGAAGCCAACCAAGCAGGCTTCAAGGGATGTTCCTGTGTCAGCTATGGTGCTAAGTCAGCCTCTGAGAGCTGCCAAAACACAATTGTGTGACCCAAATGTGGGTCCTCCAGACCCAAAATGTCTCTCCCACTGATGGCAGGGCTGGATCTCCTCCAACTTTGCTTTGGCCTCTATGCTCGCCCCTGGGAAGGTGCCAGCGGGCTTAAAAATTGCTGCTGGTATGCACAATGCACATGATGCCTTTTAAATCCTGCGTGGGATATTCCTGCCTGCTGCTAGACTTGATTTTTTTTTTTTTTTTTTAATTCAAGAGCTGCCCTTTAAAATTTAAAGTCATTCTTAAAAGAAAAAAACAACACCCAACCCACAGCCTGAGCTTTGTGCAGCAGGCACCTAAATCCTCATAAAAAGCCTGTGCTGCACTTTATAACACGGGTAAAAGTCTAAACATCGTAAAAGAGAGCCTGAATTGCCAGACTGCCTGAGCCCCCCGTAAATCACCCCTCCAGATGGTCCTACGGCTGCTCACAGCACCCTGCCTGTGACAAGGGGTCGCTCCGCAGTCCAGCCTCAAGTGAACCTCCAACACTATGCAAGGATTATGTGGTAGAAGAGGCACTTCTGAAGTTTACCACTGCCCCGTTATTAGGGATAGTTGGATTTTCCTTGCAAGTTACACTCTCCTGCACCTCCAAGAGTGGCAGGGGAAGAGGGTGACAACTGTGTTCTTGTGGGCTAACAGGCCAGTCAAGCACTGAGAGAGCAACACCCTCTCACTGGAAGGTGCCACGGATGACTTTTCAGGTGCAGGATTTCTCAATTCACCATTTGTGTCACTTTGTGCGCTACACCAGAAGCCGACACGGTGAGAAAATCAGGTTCTTCGGCGTGGCATGGAGATACATCTTTTTCTCAGCATCGAGCTCCCCTGCGTTAAGGTGGGGGAAGGAAACTCTGCCTCCTTCACAAAACAAAATCATAAAGAATAAAAGAAAAAAACACTCTTCTCTTCAGAAAACCCAGGCCAGGTGTTGGGTGCTCTCACCATCAAGCTGAGGCAGGGCTGGCTAATCCGTAGGCTGGCTTGTTAGTGAGATAAAGGATTTCAGGAGGTGTTGTGGGCCGGGGGAGTGTTGGTTGAGTGTGGCTCCTGCAGGAATGCCTGACCTTTCCTGGGGCTTTGATCATGCTGGCTCGCGGCGTGAGATAACGAGCCCTCTGCAGAATCCGGAGGTAATAAAAAAAGCAGCTTTGAGGCCTCGTGTTTTGGCAGTGAAGCGCTTACCTGGGCTGCCAGCACGCTGCCTGATCCCCCTGCCCTGCCAGGGGCTGTGCTGTGCTTCTGGAGGAATTTGAGCAAGGGGTATCAGCTCTCACCTGGCTTCTCCCTGTTGAAGAGGTGTGCCATTCTTACTGAAGGCATGCATATGAAGATTCAAAAATGAGCACAGCCACAGAAGCATTAGTATGCAATTAAGCCACAGGTAGGACAATAGAAGGAGAAACTGTGTATCTGAAACAGACGAGATGGTAAAACAAAGGATTGATCTGGAAGGGCTAAGTCATTTATTTCATCAGTTCCTCTCTGAACATTTAACCTGTACTATAAAAGGACTGCCTTTGCTGAGTTTTTTGTTTGTTTTGTTTTTTGTTTTTCTCAGGGCAGGCAACCTGAACAAGCCAGTATACCATTGGGTCAACAAAGCACAAAACACCTGGGCTCAATGCACTGAATTGGTGGGTGCTAATTAGCTCAGTCTTTAATACTTCCCCTAATGAGCCTGTATAAGCACTCTGCATTGGGCTGCTCACCAGGAGAAGTTCTCCTGATCCTCCAGAGCTGCTGCTCTCCTATAGAGGCAGCTGTGCTGCATGCAGGGCTGGCACCTCATGCTAGGGCTGGTGCTGCATCAGCTCTGCAGTGCTACCTGGCTGCAAACTGACTGGAGTCAAATCCAACAAAACCTGGGTAAGTTACCCCTTACCTAGGGGGGAAGCAGTGTACTCAACGATCCTGTCTTCCTTGCAGGGGTTAGCTATGTAGATTTAGATGCAAATTTTACTTTAGGGCAGGCTTTATGGTATTAGGAGTCTCCTCTTTAGCCTTCTGAAATTTCATATGTATACATGCTGGAGTTCTCTCATCTCTGTTAATTGGGTTTTGTGGAATTTTGAGGCCTGGGGGCCAGAGGGAGGGCTGCTGATTAAAGCACGCCGTGCAGAAGTGGATGCAGTGGTGTTGCACAATAGCAGGAGCAGCTCTGTTCGCCCAAGCCGCCTTCTGGTGTGCAGCCGGCAGGCTGGAGGAGCTCCTGTTTGCACACTCAGAAGTGCCTTGGCAGAAGGAGGGTGCTGTTCCTTCCAGTCTCTCAGCCCTGCTTTTCCAGTTGTACACATCGGTTCCAGGGAATTTGAGGTGGGTTTGCTGCTGTCTGTTTATTGTGTGGAGTCACTGTCCTGGCCACCAGTCTGACTGTGGTCACAAAGAGGGGCAGGGGGAGCCTGCATGCTGACCTACAACCTTCAGCACCATTAAGGAGGAACAAAAGGGTGCTGAGTCTCCGCTTGTCTCCTCTTGCATCCATGCCTGTTGGGATTTGTTAGGCTGCGGATCTGAAACAGTGGGATTGATGGGTGTGTGTCTGTGTGTCCCCACAGCAGGGCACAGAAGGCTCCCTGCCTCACTCCCAGCTGCATCTCTCCAACACCACACACACACACATGAGGCTCTAGCCCAAAAGCTTGCTTGCTGCAGCTAAATACAGATATTCACACACCCATTATAAATGCAGTCTAGTTTCATTTTTAACCCACAGGAGGGTGTGGAGGGAGAAGACATCAAAGCATGAACACAGGCTACCCTGGCATTCTGGGCGTGCAATTTTATCTTCCCTTCATTTCCCTCCTTTCCAAACCAGCTGCTGCAACTATCACGATGCTTGCCCTCCGGCCGGCATGCTGGATAACTGGCTTCCAAGGCAGTCATTAATCTCCCCCCATTACCCAGCTGGCACAGGAATTCACTGAGAGAGGAGAGCTGCCTGTGTGCCCTCCCAGTGGCAGCTCCCCAAGCCATGGAGCGTTGCTCCTCCAATGCACCGGAGCAACGCTCAAGGAAGCAGGGATGTCACCAAGCACCATCAGAGGATCTTGGATACGTGGGATGAATGCAACCTGCCTGTTGGCAACTGCGGAAGAAAGAAGCAGCGTGCATCTCCAGGGAAAGATGGCTGGGATCAGAGCTAAGTTTAGAGAGTTACTTAGTCCACAGCAATAGCAGCAGAGAGCAGCCCGATGTATGCAAGCTATGCAAGTGAAAGGAAGATGCACATAAGCCTTCAGCAAGAAAATACAGCTCAGCAGTACTGTGCTTTCATCCAACCATTGGGTTTTGACCCATCTGGGGTGACAGGGCTGAAAGTGCATCAGGAGGTATGTAATTAACTGAGTGCAGACAGGAGCTGCTGCTCCAGCAAAGCCCTGGTGAAATGAAAACAAAGCAGGCTGAGAAAGCAACAATGCACCGTCTACTAAAGAAGACAAAGTAATCAGAAACAAGTTTTGTGCCCTTCCTACCTGAAACAGCCATCTCCCTGCCTCCCACTGCTGTGTGGGAATGTTTGAGCATCTGCATCGAAACACAAGTAACTTTTTCAGAGTGTTTTCTTGGCGTGTCAGCGAGATGATGCACAACAAACCTGTCATATCCTCTTGGTAACAGTGTTCATTTGCCACTTTTCTGCACAAGAGCATTGTGTATACACACAACACTACACTAACCTGCATTTGATCTGGTGGTAGGACCATAGTTCTCCCACGGCGAGGAAAAACACAGACAAGTTTTTGATCTTCCTTAAAGCAATGCTTATCTCAGTTTTGTTTGTTTTCTGTTTTTTGAGTGCAGGGTAGCGTCTGATGTGCATGCCACCCACCACAGCTTATCTCGGCAGCGAAGCAACCATTGCAAACCAAAATAACAGCATCTTCCTCTGTGCCTGCCCTTCAAGCAGTGACAGGCATGTTTTGGTATCGCAGACCCCAGGGCGTTAAGCACCAGTCTCGCACCTGCACACTTGCTGAGAAATGAGGGGTCCTTTGTTAAGGCCGGCGGATTACAGGCAAGACGGCTCAAGCAACCCTTTCCTGAGGATCCTTTGGAAGCACCGTCCCCCCTCAGCCCAAGCAAGCCTCCAAAAATGTAATTTTAGAACGTCTGCAGGATGAGCATCTACAGCAAGAGTTCAAAGCAATGCCCAGCCAAGAAAATGAGTGTAAAGCATGGGGCATCAGCACGGAGCACTGACCTGCACTCCTGGGGAGCCCAGCTGGAGACAAGCAGCCCCTGCAGCTGCCCACAGCTCCTCAACTTCCCAGTGCGAGGACTCTGGCAAGGCCGTGAGAAAACACGACCTCCACCATCCCCAAGCACTGCTGGGGCCTCCAGCTGCTGGTCCCTTCCTTGCTATCTGCAGGCACTTTCCGGCTCACAAGCTGACACGCGAAGGGTAGCGACAACGACCCTGACGAGTCCCAGGGCAACAGAGGGAAGTGGTTTGAGAGGGGTTTGCTGGAGTCTGTGCACCCAACCAGCCCTCAACCACATGTTTAGTCTTGTCCCAATAGCTGTGTCATTGGCAAGCAGAGGAGTTCAGCTGGCTACTTTCTCATGAGCTTTTCAAGAGGGGCAAAATGGAAAAGAAGCTTTGAGCAGGCAGAGGAAGGAACTCTTGGTTAGCTGGGGAGGAGACAGCCATCAGCTGTCACACCGTCTGTCTGGCAGCAGCCGGCCAGGCAGCCCCACGCAAGCTTTCCGTCCCAAGCACATCCTTCCTGGCAGGGAAGGACGCAGGCCCTCAGGAAGCTGCTGCTTCTCCTGCCACGCTCAGCAGTGGGGATCCCATAGGGCTCCCGGCGCCTAAAATGTGTGCCAGAAATAGAGCCCAGGAGGTGCTATATTTAGTGGAGCAAGTGGTGACTTAGGAAGGGCCCCTCCAGCAGATGGGCATGGCCTTGTGATGGGTCCTGTTCCCCAGGTGAGAATGCTGTGTTGTACCCAGGGAAACGTGCAGCAATCTCCTCTCAGGGGATTGCAGGGCGGTGAGGTGGAACGGATGTCCCACCTCTGCAAGGAGACTTGGAGAGAAGAGCATCTAATTAAGACCACAGCTCCAGTTAATTGAGCCCAATTCACCTGTGACATGAAGAGCCACAATCCCATCAGCAATAATGGGACTGCATCGGCTTACACCAGTAATTATTCCAGATCAGCAGTATAACAAAGCTAATTCAATACTTCTGCAGGTCCAGCTGCTCAGGCTGCCAGGGGAGTGCTGGAGATGGCCTCCCTTATGCCCAGCCCCAAAAAGCTGGTGGTGCAGTGCACGCTAGCAATCCCTGCTGAACTGTACTGCAGGGTGCTGGCAGGTGACTGTGTGCTTGGGGCCACGCTGGATGTGGTAGGGTGTCGCGTGAGCTGCTGGCGTGGGCAGACAAGCAAATTGACAGCTGCACAATCCTGCCATCATCGCTACTGCTCCCATGGGGCTTGGACAAGAGGATGGGGATGGGAAGCCTGCATGGGGTGTCCTGGGCATATCAAGGACTGGGAATGGCAGGGCAGGCCCTGGCTGCCTCATTCAGGCTGCAGCCCGGAATGTAGCCCAGCACAGCAATTCTTTCCTACCTCCGGCCAAAGAAAACTCAGCTGCCACTGTTGTGAGGAGAGGAGCATTACTGTAGGCCAGTCAAGTTTTGACTAGTCTGATTTCCATAACACACTCTGCAAACATCTGCCTCCTATTGCAGGCTGGGCTGCACTGGGACAGGTCTCTGAGCCAACACATCCCCCCAGGGCTCTGTCTGCTCTGGTGAAGACAAGTCACAGATGTGTCTACCAGCAGCCACCACCTGTCCAGGTGCCCTTCCAGGGGTCCCGGCCTGGCTGTCTTCTTCAGAGAGGAACACATACTATGGGGCATCCATAGTGTCCTTCAGCACATCAGAGTTGCGTCTGTGCTGTTGAAATGCAAGTGCTTCAGTGAGGTGCCCTAAATGAGGAGTGTTACTGCTCTGCTGTTGTTGGGACATTTGGCATGGCCAGGTTGAGAAAGACGAAGGGAGAAAAGCCTCATGCTGAGAAGCACAAGGCCAGCAAGCACATTCCTCTGTGACACTCCATCTCCAGGTTTGAAACAGAGAAGGCAGGCAGCTGGTGCTCACCACAGTGGCCAGGCAGTGCCCTGCACCCTGGGCAGAAGAAGCCCACAGCTCCATTCGCTCCTTTGTGTCCGCAAAGTGCAGGCATCAAACAAAAACAAGCAAAGCACTCTGCAGGGTTGGCTACAGCACCTTCCGCTTCAGGTTTGGCTGATTGAGCCCCGGCCCCAGGCTTGGCTGAAAGCCTCCTGGTTCATCCTGCTTCAAACCAGCACGTTTCAAAACTTGTGCTTTGCATCCTTCAGGAAGGAAACAAGATCAGAAGGCACCACATGTCTTTTCTGTACAGGATTTCTCATTTTGTCATGACCTTCTGCTCTCTGCCTAGGCATCAGCTGTCCCTACCACAGTTTCTCCCTCAGTCAGCAAGCAGCACGTCCCACACCTGGCATTTCCATTGCCAAGCCGCAGAGCTGCTTGCACTTTTGCAGCACACATGATGTTCTGCCCAGACAATGTCACCAACCAGTGGGACCAGAAGAAACAGGCTGGCATTGGCGTGACAGCTCCAGCCCCAGCTCAAACCCTGCTGCTGGCAACCCAGGGGACAGCTACTAAAAAAAACAAAGCAATTCTCTTTATTTGACCTCTTTAATCGACACAGGGATGAATGGGATTAGATATCAAGCTACACATCTTTACATGTTGTTGTTTCTTTTTTTTTGAACTGAGTGAGCATTTATGCTGTGTGGGGCAACTTCCAGCTTACGGAAATCAGATGGAAGGTGTTGGTTTTTCACACTGTGGGCCTCATCTCTCACACCATATCTCACAGTAACATCTATGCTCATTAATTAACTCTTCTCCTTTCAGTTCGCAATCCCATAAACATCTCTATAGCAGCTGATGTCATTGTTTACACAGAAAAGTGTGACATACATTTCTCTCAGAGCAGCCTGAAGTGAGAAGAGCCAGCAGCAGGTTAGCAAGCAGCTCTCTGAAATCCCCTCAAACCCACAGCAACAGCAGCACCAAGCATCAGCACCTCCAGCCCAGCACATCTGCTGGTCCCCTGCACTTTGTTTACGGCCATGACATGTCCCTGTCTGATCTGCCGTCCCGTGATTGACATCAGTCAGACTTCCCACCTCTACCAATCAGTGTTCCCAACTAGTTCTGTGTTCTTGGATCTATCCAGACACATATCAGGGCCATGGGGTGTGATGCTCTCCTCCTTGTAGGCAAAGGCTTGAGCCATGTGCTCGATTCAGTCAAGACAGCTGGCATCAAAAATATAATGAATCAGCCAATGATCAAAAAAGATAAACAAGACTGCTCTTTTTTTTTCCCTATGTTAAAAACATCCCTATACCATTAAAATGCACAGCAAGGCAGGGGGAAGTGGGAACATATCACCATAAGAAAATGCCTTCATTGTTTTTGTTTGAGATTCCACATTTTTCACCAAACATTTAATCAGAAATCACAGTTCATCTTTGAAGGGATTTTTCAGAGCCCTCAGTTCACTGCTGCAGTCTGCAGCGGTTTTGCAGGGAGGGAGAGGCACAGCCTAGCCCCCTGCCTCGGTATTTAGGGGCATGCAGGAGGTGTGTGAGGGTGGGGAGAGCAGCTTGTGCTGAAGGCAAGGCTCCAGGCAACCCTGGAGCAGAGTGATTCAGTCTGAAATGAACTGGCAACCCTAAAACTTTTTGATAAGATAAAAATTCATTGATGTTGGCTCACACTGGGCCCACTTCAGCTCTGCACTTGTCCTCTGTGTTTCCTTGGCATATCTGTTCCTTTCCTCTATCTGCTTTAGCATAACTTTATTTTTCTCTTTTATCTTTAGCTAACTGCACCCAGGGACTAGAGGGATTGATTTTTTGTTTTGACTTATTGTTTGAAGATCTGTAACTCAAAGCAGCTTCTTGTGCCTCTGATGTCTAGGCATGAGCAGTATAAAAGGTGAAGCGTGTCCTATGTACCGAGCTGAGCAGGGATACCATTCTATAATCAGTCATCTGTGTTTTATTTTGCCTTTTTGGGAGGAAAACTATTTTAAGACTTTATAGGCAATAACACTTGAAATAAATATTCCCGTGGCTGATACTACGCACGCCGGTTCTTTCCCTTTTTAATAGACAGTGCGCCATTGCTCACTTGGTGCAAAAAAAGCACCAAGTTCCTAATTAAAGGAGGCCATTATAAATCAGAAGATATTTTGACCGTCATGTCACACCCCTGGCAGTCTACTACTGCCAAAACGTTGCCATGCAAATCCGAGAACGCTGTGTTTGGGGATGCGCTGCCGCGAGGCGAAACAAATCCCCTGCAACGAGGGAAGGCAGAGGGAGGGGACGGTGCGCTAACCCGCTCCCATGTGCTCCCTTTGCCCTCAGGGCTGGAGCTGGCTTCTTTTAGGAAATTCTTGCCCTCAGGCTGCGTCCAGCAGGCAGCTCATTAGGACGTGCTGGCCCGGGTTTCTCACACCGAGGGAGGTCGCAGAGCTCGCCGCGCACAGTGGTGCTGTTTACGATACCCCATCTACTCCGCTCCCTGAAGTTGCCCAGCTTGCTGAAATATGGTTACATATGCAAACATTATCTCCCAATTGTAACCTCATTTTCTGCTCTGCTGGACGGCGTGACCAGCATTTGTCATCCCGCCGCCCCCGCCCGCTGCACCGCTCGCACGTCCCTAATTGTCACCGAGATGCAGCGTGCCAGCGGGACGCCAGTGTCCGCTGCTCCCCATCTCCACGCAGTCACTCAGGTAACAAACCCATAATCTCGTCCTGTTTTCATGATGGTTGAATTACACATAATTGTTCCTGCACAGTGATTGATTTCTGCCTGAATAGAGACCTCTGCCTTTTTTCAATGCGAGCGAGTGGCAGCCAAGTCTCTCCATCGAGGAGGAGGCAGCAGCCTTTGAAGAGATCAAAGCCAAGGCCGCGAGCAGTTGTGCGCCCTGGGAATATGGAAAGCCTTTATGCTCTCAACCCCATTTCCAACATCATGTTGGATTGCAGCTGCATTACATTCTGCCAGCATTCTTAATGCTTTTAGTATTGACTCTGACATCACCGATAGCTGTTTTAAAGTAACAAAAGCTGAGGGATGACTTATTTTCACAACTCCGTAATTGGAACATGCAAAGTTAGGGGAAGGCAGCATTTGTTTTCAATCTGAAATACAAAAGAAAGCACAGAAAATTATATAAGTTCCCCAAAATTAAAAACACGTTTTTCATATGGAAAGAACAGAGGGGGCATTTTTATAGCCTAGACCACACAAAATGAACTGATTATGCACATGTTTTTTCAAGCCTAAAGGCTGAAGTAAAAATATGATTGGGTAAGCGAGTCAAATCGGGAAAAAATATTGTGACTCACGGTGCATTTAGTGACTTCTAGCACCTGATGCAAGGCAAAATGCTACAGATGCCCTGGGTGCTGCTTCCCTCTGCAGCTCCTTGTAGTAAACTGACAGCAGTTCGCTTAGCCTAAACCAGGCACAACACGTGGCGAACGAGCATTAAATCCTCATCAGTTATCTGGGAAGATAACCAGCGATCTGGAAGTATAAAGCACTTCATAGCTCCTTCTGAGATTTCCTCTGCTCCAGCCACACAACAGCCGTAACGCTGCCTTAAAGATCACCACAGAGCTATTTTCGGGGGTGTTGGATGCTCCTGCCCTCTATCCCCTCCTCCCCTGCCCTCACAAGTGAGCACAAAGGCAAAAATCTCTATAGCTAGAAAGGCGGCCCCAAGCTTTGATTAAACACCCGCCCACACTGTCCAGGGAACACATTTCCAGGGAAGCCTTAAAATGAACCGGTGGGAAGAGAGAGGACAGGGAGGATGGGAGGCAGAGCCAGGGATGCCGCACAGCTGAGCCGCTCCTGTCCGGAGCACCGCTTCAACAAACATTTCTATTCATTCTGAACAGTAGTTTTGAAATACGTTCACTGCCACTACGGCGTGCGGAGTGCTGAGAAGCGAAGAATGTGTAAATAAAGCTGAGCTGTAAAGAATTAAACGTTATAAGCTGTAAAGAATTAGACATTACGAGCACTCGTGTATTAGCAATAAAAATAATTTCCTCTTAGCTGCATCATTTGCCTTCTGCTGTTCCAGAGCTCCTTTTTCCCTGCAATCATTACAGCCCCGCTTCAGAGACGGCAGCAAGGGACTTGCCCTCCTTCCCTGCGGACACCAAGTCAACGTCCTTGTCACTACCTGGATCGTTGGTACTGTCTCAGGGATACTTTGGCCATTCCTCAGCACACACACAGCCACGCTGAGGCTGAAAGTGGTGGCAAACATAGCAAGCCATCTCTTTACCACAACACAAAAGCTCAATTTTGAACAGCATTAAAAAAGAAGCCTTTCCTATGTTAATCCAACGCGCGTTTGTTGTTGTTTTTTCTGCCTCTCTACTCTTCCTCCATCCCCAGAGAATTACTCCTCCTTCTGCACACCCTGAGAGATCGCTCCTCTGTGGCTTCAGTGCCTGCTCTGAGGACAAGAAAATGCCCACAAAGCAGCGCTGAGGAGGAGCATGAGGTGCCAGAGCTGCCAGCTGCCAGGGTGCTAGAACA